GAGAGAAAATGGGAGAGGAAAGATGAGATGATGGTGGTGGTGGTGGTGGAAGATGATAATGAGGTATAATGATGAAGATGGTGGTGGAGTATTATATAATTATTTTAGAGGCTTGTATTAATGGAGTTGGAGGAGATTGAAAAATAGGCTTGTGAGATATCCCTTGGTTGGCTACGTGATTTGGGGAGATATTGGAGAGTTAAGTTTTGGCTTTTAGCCAAAACTGAACAGTTTACTCCAAACGGTACGCGCTTTTTTGCCCAAGCTACTCCGAATTGAAAACGAATTGTGTTTTTGGAATGAGACTGTCGAAACTAGAATTTTGACGTAATCAAAATATTTTTCTGATAAGTTTTATTTTTCTTAATGTCTGGGTCTGTCTCTGTCATAAATTAATTTTATAATATGATTGAGATATAAATATATGGATTAAATCCAAATGATAAATATGGTGTTGTCAAGTGTCAAAATTATGATTTATAATCTTATTAAATCACCTTTGGATTGAGTTTATTTTATGGGTCAAAGTTACAAATTTTTACTATTTAAAATTGACATAACTTGAAATCTACAAATTAGATTGGTTTATAAAATGTACCGTTGGATTCGTCTCTTCGAGACATATCCATAAATATAACTTTTTAACAAAAAGTCATTATTTTGAAAATCCATTTATTTTTAGTCAAACGTACAAATATTCCTTATTGGATAAAAACTACTTTTGTTTTATAATAAATTTTAGGCCATATTTTGTGGCGTTACAAAAACTATGAATTAATGATTCCAAAATGATATATGAACCTCTATAACATCCTTATATAGTTTTGTTGAACATCCTTATATGAACCTTGGACCGAAGGTTGAAGAAGATGAACAGTGCTCGAAAATATGCAAAGAGGATCGATCATACCTCTTGGATCGATCCCCTGGGCATAAATTTTCTATTAATGATCGATCAAATGCACTAGATCGATCCCCCAAAGTTCTGATCCGAAAATTTGTCTGAAAATGCTATTTTTGAGCTCTAAAATCCTATTTTTGATACCAATTGATTATGATCATTATAAAAATGATTTACCACAATAAAAATGATGTTTCTAACAACTAAAAATGTTATGTGTTGCATGACAGTAAGTTCGGGTGTTAACACTTGAAGTTAGGCAGCTATTTGTTATCAGTTGTTATGTTAATTGATGATTATGATAAATGAATATGATGGATGAGTATGAGTAATGAAACTACTGATTAAAATGAGTATTTATGATTGAATCATGAGTAAAATAAATACATTTATAATTGTGGGATTATTTGTAGTGTTAAGGGTATCTAGAAGAACTCTAAGATATACACATTTAGAGAATTGATGTTAAGGCTATCTAGAAGACCTCTAGAATAGATCTCATGTAACACCCCAACCCGCATAACCCAAACCCGTACAGCACAGAGAGATGATGAGTTTTGTCAGAAGACTCGAGAGTTAGTTCCTACAGGAAAGAGGCCCGAGTTTGCAATTCGCGATGACGGAGTCTTGTACTATCGTGAACACCTAGTGGTGCCCCGCGGTGGAGTGAGGGATCGCTTGTTGTGCGAGGCTCACGGAACCGTATACACTATGCACCCGGGTAGTAACAAGATGTATCAGGGTTTGAAGAAATCCCATTGGTGGCCAGCTGTGAAAAAGGAAATCTCCGAGTTCACTGCGCGCTGTTTGACTTGTCAGCAAGTCAAGGCTGAGCACCAGGTTTCGACAGGGTTGCTGCACCCTCCTACCATTCTGGAATGGAAGTGGGAAAGGATCACTATGGACTTTGTGATCGGATTGCCACGATCTTCACGAAAGAATGACGCCATCTGGGTCATTGTTGACAGGTTGACAAAGTCCGCTCATTTTCTACCCGTCAGACGTGACTCTTCCTTGGACAAATTGGCAGACTTATACGTTAGAGAGATAGTTCGGTTGCACGGTGCGCCGCTGTCAATCATATCTGATAGAGATCCCCGGTTCACTTCGATGTTCTGGAGAGGAATTCAGAAGGCTTTTGGTACACCTTTGAACCTTAGTACGGCATTTCACCCTCAGACCGATGGCCAGTCTGAGAGGGTGATACAGATTGTCGAGGATATGATGCGAGCTTGTGTGATCGACTTTCGAGAAGATTGGGAGCGTTACTTGCCGTTGATGGAGTTTGCCTATAATAACAGTTACCAGGCGAGTATTCAGATGGCTCCGTATGAGGCACTCTACGGCAGAAAGTGCCGAACCCCGATTTGTTGGATAGAGCTTAGCGAGCGTAAGCTCGAGGGACCAGATATTGTGCAGGAAACCGAGGAGAAGGTTCGTGTGATCAGAGACCGACTCCGCACTGCTTCGGACAGACAGAAATCTTATGCAGACTTGAAGAGACGAGACATAGAGTACAATGTTGGTGACATGGTATTTTTGAAGGTTTCACCTTGGAAGAAGGTCCTACGGTTCGGGAAGAAAGGGAAGCTTAGCCCTAGATTCATTGGACCCTACCGCATTCTGGAGCGAATAGGACCTGTTGCTTACAGG